ATATTTTAGTACAACCCCATCCGTTTGTGAAATTTTTTTTCTTCTAATATATATATTGAATCCTTTAACTTCTAACTCCTAGTGTAAATCTTTTCTATCAGAATATATTTTAAGTTTCTTTGAAGAATTCTTTGGAGGATGCTTGCGATATGCTACATAGCTATATTCTAGCTTTCGGTATGAATCTGAAATACTAGTATCATTTGTTATAAATGATTTAATTAATATGTATCACTTTCAAATTTTTATGGACGGATTCGATATGGAATTATGGAACATTTTTTATGAGAATGAAAGCAAATAAAACAAAGAAATTTCAAAAATGTTCTACTTAATCTTTACAAAATTTAAGTTCTAATCGACTTTAGTCTATGTGAAATGCCTTTCTTCCTCTATCTCAACGTTTATTATCAATTAAGTATTAATGGCTCTAATAAAGCTTTGCATTATAGAAAATAAAAACTATATAATTTTAATTTAGAGATCTAAATATTATTCCGACAAAATCCGACTTCATGACTCAGTTTTATTTCTTATACATATGTAGACTTTCACCAAATCCCTTTGATATAAAAAATTGTGCTATTTAAATACTTAAATGCTTTTATTAATTTTTATCATTTTTTATTTTTTCTACGACTTTCTGATAAAAATATTAGACATTATTGTCGCCTTAAGAAAATATTGTAAATTTTTATCATTTTACACATTCCAGTCAGTATTAGAAATATTTAATTTTATCAAACATTGTGTATATTAATATGTATCTAATAAGTTTCGAAAAGATATAAAAAGCAAGATACTTTTATGACATCATAATAAATTATAACAATAATAAAAACTGAGAAAAAATATTTACATTCATTAATTTAATTTTAATTTAGCGACTTTGAGGTGTTTTTTAATTGCTGGAACTATGAGAGAGAATCGCTAATTGCATTTGATAAACAGTTTTGCGACACAAAATATTTATTTTTAATGAAAATAAATATAGAAAATAAATTATAATGTTTAAGATAATAAATTATAATTAAATATATGAAATTATACATAGAAAACACTAATAATAATGACATAAAATCTATAATTAACCATATTTAACTAAAATCTTTTAAATATTGTCTTTATTTGCAGTTTGAATTTAATTGCGGTAACTGTCAAAATCGTTGGAAAAAACTAGAAAGCAAGAAAATGGCTGACACCATTAACAAACCAAAATTGCAATTACGTACCGGCGTTTCAGTAAACGGCGACAAAACACCATCACCGGCGACGAAGCTCTTAATTAATCATGGTAAACCCAATTTCACCATTTCGCGTAGTAACAAGTTGCAACAAAATGGCGACAGCAACGACAGTAACAACAACAATAACAACGAAAATGGGTACACAAATGGCAACAACATTAGCAACGACTTTATTGTGAAGAGTACCAAATTCAACGGGGTCTTCAAGCCTGCCAATGTTACCGTAGAGAAACAAGTGTCCACTGAAAATGAGGGCATCAAAGTAGTGCTTAGGCCGACAAAAGTCACGGAATCTGTAGCAGTGAATAACGGCACACAAGAAAATGAGGCTGCCAAAGTAGTGCTAAGACGAGCCAAAGTTTCAGAACCCGCTCTTAAAGATGGTGAAGATGACTCTGTGCCTGAATTTATACGTAGACAACGCAGAATACAAGAACGTTTGACTAAAGAGAATATTTTGGATTTCGAAAATAGACGTAGCGGTTACTTTACACATGTAATGATATCGCCTACTGCTACTACAGCTAATCGCACATCTTTTGTTGAGACTATGTCAAGTCCAGCTATAGTGCCCGCATTAGAAATACCACCACCAATTCCAAAGGCGCGTATTGACCCATCAACATTGTTAGAAGAGGAAGAAGAGAAGGTTGTAGATCAACGAGCAGAAACAATCGTACCAGTCGCAACAAATGGTTATATCAATGATGAGGAAGAGGTTGCTAAAGCTATAGAGGAAGTTAATAAAGCTGTAGCTGGTGAAGATGATGATAAAATAATTGAACTCGAGCAAGAAACCGGTGAAGTGAAAGAAGAAAGCCATGAAAGGGTATTAGAGATCCAAGCTGAAGAAAAACCTACTGCTCAACCAGTAGTTGATGCAGTAGTTGTTGCTGTCACAACTGCAGCAGTCATTGATGAACCAACCAAGATTGTAGAAAACGAAGAAACTGGTAAACCTGCAGTGATTGAAACAGCAGTGTGCATTGACGAATCGAAGAAAGAAGAAACAACTTACGAAAATGCAACAACAGAAGCGGAAGCAATACGCGCTACTGTAGCAGCCGTGGCCACTTCCTTGCCAATTGAGGAAGTTGCAGTTCAAGTTGAAGAAACACATCAAAATGGACATGTTGAAGAAGTCAAACACAGTGTACAAGTCGATGAGCATAAGCAAAACGGTGAGCCAGAGGTAACCATTTTACACACTAATGGCGTCGATGGACCCAGTATACCAACACCGGATCCAAGCGGTGCATTAGGCGTTAATTTTGAACCAAAAACTGTTGTATCCTTTTCCAAAGATTTGTCAAGTGAACCCAATAAATATCCCGATACGGTGAAGGTGGTAAAAGATGGTGAAGTTGTGACTAAAGAAACAAATGAAGATTTGAAAGACCTAGCTAAACTGAAGTTTGATATTCAAGCGGATGAAAAGGATGTACAAGTAACACCTGTTTTAAGAACGGAAGAGAATTAAATGAAAAGGATATGTATAGTGGCTAGCAGTAGTGTAATTAGTTTATTTAATCTTATTATTCAATGACTTTTTAAAAGTTATTAATTGCAAAAATTTTATTAACTTTTATTCAATATGGTGTGTATATGTTGAATACAGCGCAAGAAAGGGACAACAGTGCAAGACAGTTTAAGCAAAACTAAGGACCTCAAGTTATTTTTCGTTACGCACATCACAATGTATATAAGCAAAACTTCGGCGTAATTGTTTACAACGAACATAGTCCATTTTATCCTATTATATATTACATATTATTTAATTATTATAATTATTACATACTTTAAGTCTAGAGTTGCCAAAATATTAAATTTATTTTAACTATTATAAATTATTCGTGTACATTATGGTATACATACATATATATGTATTTAATATACGCTATATACAGAATATATGCATCTTGTGCAATATAAACAGTATCTAGATGTTGTTTCTAAAATCTTTGTTGATTGCATTGGTATTTGTACATTTTTTTAAACTAAATGTTTCATTTTAATAAAATTAATACATTTTAAAACATTTTATTTTTTTACATAAATTTTGTTATTAAAAATATTAAAATAATATATTTGAAATGGAAATACATAAATAAATATATTTTAATAAATAAATATAGTAATTTAAATATATATTTTATAAAAACAATAAATATATATATAATAAAATATGTAATTACATATTAAACTGTTAAAATTTAATTTTAACTATTATACATTTATTCATAAAAACCGTAAATAAAAAGGTATATATAATTAAATCTAAATCAGCTTTATCATTTTATTGGATTTTTAAAACATTTGTTTTTTATTGGATTTGAGACATGTTTTATCGCAAAGTATATGAGATAATTAAATACAAATAAATAATTTTAATAAGAAATATGAAAATAATTTATTTATTAAAAATAATATGTTCTATAACGAAACTGAAATCTTTTTAATATTTGAACACGTCATCGATATCAGATATGGGTAACTCTTAACTGCGAGTAAACAAGCATTACGAAGATATTAGGTCTGTTCCACGAGCTACTCATAGTAAAACATGAGTAAAACAGAAGTAAAATTTGCACAAAAATACTTGAAAATTTGCTGGTGGAACGCGCTTGTGTATACACAGTGTTTACTCAAAGTTACTATGAGTAGCTCGTGGAACAGATCTAATAGGTCTGGCAAATAATTCGGCTATAATCGCATAACAACAAACCAACTGATTGGTCTTGACCCTCTCTTGGCCCTCTCTTTGTTTAGGACATATAATTATTGTAAAAATAGCGTATTAATAGATACACATGCCGATCATATAGGGGTTTTTTTTAACGACTATTCTCAAAATTTAAGTCAGAGAAGCGTAAAGGAAAACTGCTCATCTGTTTTGTTTGTTTCGTAGGGCCAAAGTACATTCCGGAATAGAAATATAAAATGATATAAAAAAATTTGATCAAATAATATAATTGCATATAGTCTTATAGACAAATAATTATGTATTTATATCATGACTGCATGTGACTTCAACATATAAATGGATCCAATAATATGAATTCGTACGCAGAAGCAGCGTCTTGGTTATCTCACTTCGATAACTTAAACTGTTCTTAAGCCCCTTTATTATTTTTTTGGCTAAAGGGGATAAATAAATATACGAGTATTAACGTTGTTGTAAAGAAATATAGAGTGATAAGTGAAAATAAAATGAAGGAGTGTAAGAACATAAAACGGGAGTGTAAATGGAAAGAATAGAGATCTGGTTGTTAATCAGGTTATTAAGTAAAAAATAAAACTGAACGCAGAAAAGACTCGGGCAATTTTTATTACCAGGAAGCGCCGACAAGCTCCCAGAAAATTAAAGGTAGTAGAACAAGAAATAG